AAACTTCTTGTGAATATCTTTTTTGTGTGTGGTAAAGGGATCAGTAGAAAGAGTTCTTATAAATATTTTATATTTTAAAATATTTATTTTCCAAAAAAAATAAATATAAAATATATAAAAGAAAAAATTAAATTATTATTTCAAAAATTTTAATAATTATTACAAGAGTATAAAAAGAAATAAAAAAAAAAAAGTATAATAAGAAATAAAACACAAAAAAAAAAAATAAATAAATAAATAAAATCTGTAGTGATAATTTGCAGACAATGATACTAATAGTTGAAAGGTATTTACCTGAATTATTAGTGAAGTGATAAACTATTTCTGAAGTTATACTTAGAGTAATAGTAGTCAAAATAAATGAATTAATTAGAGATTTAGCTTTAGCATCATATTAATATATAAAGTTTACAAAATATTTAATAAAACATACATAATTAGTTTAATAAAAGAAAAAAATAAATTAAATTAAATTAAATTAAATAAAAATAAATAAATAAATATTTAGATCAACTAAATAAATATTTAAAATTAATTAAAATATATTAAACTTATCATAGAATTTATAAAAAATATTATAATTATAAAAATAATTATAAAAAAAAATTAATAATAATAATAAATAAATTTTATAAATACAAAAAAAAGTTTTTAATTATTTTAAAAATAAATATAAAAACTATAATATAAAAAATTATAAAATAAAAATAGAATCTTTTTTTTTAACTTACAATTATATCATATGGTTTAATCTTTATTAAAAAGTTTATAATATTATAAACTTTTCATATAATAATTAACTTGTTATTACATCAAAGTACTTTAAGTAAGATCTAGAAAACAATATTTTATTTTTTTAAAGAATTAATACATATCTCTATCTTTTAGATTTATTATCAATAATTTGTTATTGTAAATTATCAATAACTATAAATTGATAAGTTAAAAGAAAAAAGAAAATTAATAATTAGAAAAAAAGAATAATTTAAGGTCTCAATAAAAAGTTCAAAAACAAAATTATTCTTTTTTCAAAAGTTCTGCTTAATTAAAATATTCTTCTTGTTTTACTTGAACCTTGGAAAAAATCTTTTTTGTTATTACCTATAATATTGAATAAGTCAATTCAATCAATCTTTTATTTAAATAAATATCAGATTGAAAAATTTCAAAGAAAACATTTAAACTTTAGCTTTTGTTTATAAAAGTTTTATTATTACTTAAAAAACTTAAAGAAAAGGTAAAGATTTACAATTCATATTATCCATCTTTTAGTTTTTTGATATTATAAATGTTTTTTTTATGGGACTTGGGGTTTTTAAGGAATAAATATTTCTGAAAAATTCTTTTCAATTATTAATAATATTATTAAAATATATAAATATAATTAATAGAAGCTTGTTTATATTTCAAAAATCAATGTATTTAATATTAATTAATTATATTTAATAAAGATTATACTATTCAAAATTTAGAATCAAACTAAAGTAAGTAAAATTTTTTAAAAAACTATAAAAGTGGAAGTATTAAAAGGATTAGATGATTAAAAAGAAAGAAAATAAATCTTTTTATTATAGAAAACTCCTATAAATTTTTTGTTTTAAAGATTAAAAAAGTTTTAAATATTTTATAGCCAGTTTTTTTTCTTTGAGAACTTTTTTATCATTGATATTAAAGATATTTTTTAACTTTTTTTGATTACTGGAAATCAAGTTTTTGAGTGAAAAAAATTTGTAAACAATAAGAAAAAAGTAGAAACATTCCTGAAATCAACTTTCAAGTTGTTTTAAGAAAAATATTAAGGTTTTATTGACAAATAAGTAAAAAAACTTCTTGCAAATATTTTTTTTGCATATGATTAAAGGATTAGTAAAAAAAGTTTTCTTTATAAAAACAAGATTTTATAATTTAAAAAAAAATAAAATCAAAAAATTAGTTAAATTACTTTATAAAAAATATTAACAAGTATAATTTTATTTAAAAAATAAAGAAAGAATAATTAAAAGATAAAAACTTAATAAGGATTTTAATGAAAAATATTAAATATAGAATAAAATAATTGGATTTTTATTTCAATTAGAATTTTGTCAATAATATATAATATTAATTTATAGATAATAATATTAATAGTTGAAGGGCTTTTATTTGAACTACTAATATAGTAACAAATCACTTTTAAAGTTGCACTTAGGATCTAGTTACCTAATATAAATAAGTCAATCAATATTTGACTTTAGTAATAATCAAAATATACAGTTTACAATAAGTTTAATAAAGCAAACATAACTAGCTTAAAAGTGGATAATAATAAAAAAATGATAATAATAATTAAGAATTTAAAAGTTAATTAATTCCAATATTTTGTAAATTTCTGTATTTGTTTAATTATATTTTTATATTTCATTTAATTTATAATTAAAATTTGCATATTTTTACTTTAATATATTCTTGATTTATTAAAATATAAATTTACAAAAAAATACTTGCATTAAAAAGATAACAGAAATATTTAATCTTCTTTTCTCAACTTAATTCTAACGGAAAGTTCTTCGCAATGGTTGACAATTGAAGAAACAAATTTTATAGGTGCATTCATGTCAACTAACTCGACATCATACTTTATATATAACAATACCATCAATTGTTTCATTTGCATCATTGATAGTTGTTTTCCTGGACCTTTATGAAAAATAAAATTTTTTTAGTGATAGGTAAAATTTTTATATTAATATTAGTTAAAAATTCAAGGCCAAGAATTAATGGACCGTACAAATCCTAGATCCGCCTCCAAAGGGAAGTAAAGAATTTTTCTGAATCAATTCGCTATTGCTTCCCAAAAATCTATTTGGATCAAACTTTTTTGGATTTTTCCAATGCACCTGAAGTTTTAGTTAAGACGGGGTTAATTATTAGTCATCTTTAGAATATTCCAAGTTATTAAAAAAACAATGTACCCTTTTCCTCATTCTTACCTCATGCAGATGGATTCCTTGCACAAATATTTTAAATATTGTGGAAGGTTCAAAGCGATGACCCTCAATCTCATCAGCTTTGTCATTCACCCTGAGTAACACTGACACTGTTGGCATTAGTCGGGACACTGGTTCCGGGTTAAAAAAAAAAAGAGCACAACATTCTTTAATATATGTCTTCATAGCTTAATATGCCTGAAAAAAGAGTATGTA